CTCTGCCTGTTTTCCTGAGTCCAGCCTGTCCATATCCGTAGTATCAGCTGCCAACACCTCTGCATTTACATCTTTAGCGCCACTTCTCTCCTTGACTTTAGGCCTACTTTCCCTACATAATGAATGCTTCTGTCTAAATATCTTTCCAATATCACAAACTGAAGTTATACAAAAACTAACTTATTATCTCCTTTTCTCTAAATTTCTGCTTTTCCTGAAAGTTCTGAATTGCCTACTACCACCTCATGAATAGAAAGTATTGACTCTTCTTTCTCCCTCTCTCCCTAAATCCAATCATCACAATGGCCTCATTTCAGTCTTCCCCACCACCCCCCATCTGCCATTCCAGTCCCTGAACGCCCTTATTGTCCTGTCAGTAGTAAGCCACGTATAGCGGGCTTCCAATTTGTCTCTCCTTCTCCAGATTCTCTCAATTTCAATTCCTACTCCATACACCTGTCAAAGTGATCATATTCTCAGTTGACAGTCCTTTGGCAACCCTGTGTCAGTGCAGTTCAAACTGCCGGAACCACAGGAGTCCACACAGGTGCCTCACAGAACAACAAGGGGAGAAAGGGTGGAAATTTATACTCTCCTGTCTCTTAGTTTAGCCAAGGAGGCTCTAGTATAGGTGGATACGCTGTGCATGGTTTGAATAAAGGGGTCTTAAAATATCAAGCAAATAGACAAACATAAATACTTTGACAATTCCTCACCTGCAAGATACATAAAAAAATTCTTAAAGGTGTACACTTCACAGTCAGGCTGCAGTCTCCTTCTCTAACCTCACCTTCCACCATGTTCTCCACCAATCTCATCTCATACGCACACCATCCCTGCCAGGACAGCAGCCACACTGAGACACTCAGTGTAGTTCTCTTGGCTGGAAGTGCTGTTCTCTTGGTCCCTTCAATTCCATCCACCAAGGTTACTGTTACTTATTCACCCTTTCAGACATCTATTTTACACCTTCTTTTTTCTCTTGAACGTCCGTATCTTTCCTTCAGCAGCTGATCCTTCACTACGCTTTATATTTCACTGGGAAAATGTAAATTTGAAGAAGGGCTTCCACACACTACTAACCCAACATCTACCTACCGACCTGCACATATACCAATGTGCTTTCCCTTCTGTTCTGCTTGGTTGGTACCAGTTCCTGCTCCTGTCTAAGGCCAGCTCCTCCACCATGTCCCTGATCCCACCACCTCTCATCACAAGAATCTTCTACAGTAATTATCCTGACTCTCCTAAATTACCACATTTTCTTATCTGCTCTATCATTTCCCTTGGGACACAAATACAGTACAATTTATGCCAGCTTTATAAGTCCATCTCTCCTCCCACGGCCTCCCATGACCATTATCTTTTAAAACAAAACTCTGCAGAAGAGTCTCCTGATTCACTGTCTCCTCCCCACCTTCCATCATCACTTGAGCTACTGCAAGAATGCCTTTATTCTCACCTATCCCCAAACTATCAATCACTCCAAACTACTCTATCAATCACCAAGGCTTTCACCTTGCAAAATCCAGCAGCGATTTATATCCCTCGTGTTGCTTGACCTATTAACGCTTACATTGATAACTTCTTTGTGTTGAAACATTTCTCACTTGGCTTCCAGCACATTATTCTCCTGCTCCTGCAGGATTAGCCCCTCTTTCAAAGTCTCTTTTGTGGAGTCTTCCTCATTTTTCTGATATGTAAGTGTGTGGAGAGCCCAAACTGTCCCAGGTGATTGCATCTGATTTCACAGCTTTGAATAACACTTTTCAGCATCAAAAATGCCCAATATGGTCTGGCTCCCATTACCTTTCTAACTACAAACACTCCCCCAGATCTTCTGCCTCAGTTGTTCCCCAAGACAATCTTCAGTATTTTATGAACATGGCACTCAGCTCTCCCCTTAGGGTCTTTGGGCTTGTTGCTTCCTCAGTCTTAAAGGTCTTCCTCCAATATGCACATGGCTCACTTTTTTTCCAACCTATGATCAAATATTGTCTTACCATGATGCTTTCCCTGAACACCCAATGTAAAATAGCAATAATCTCCCTACAATCCAGCATCCAGCTCATGATTTTCGTTGTCCTGTTTTGGTCCTTTCTATTGCATTAATCAATTTCTGACACATTATATATATTTATTTACTTGTGTATTTGTTAATAATCTTGTCTCCCTCCTTGAGGGCGGGGGATACATCTATTTTGTAACTCCTTTATACCCAGATCCCAGAATGGTGCTGGACATGCAAAATATTTATTAAATAAATGAACAAATAATATATTCTTTTTCTTCTTAAACATTCTTGAGTAGATTCTGATTTATGCTACTCTACAGGATGATAAAGGCTGCTACTCTCCTGGAAATTTCTATAGCCTAGAAATTCAAGCTGCCACAGTTTCTAGGCCTGCGTTTGATTGTTTATGACCCTAGCCTTAAACTGATTTCATTACAGCTATTTCTAGGTGTTTTATTTAAAACAAGCACCCTGAGATCTCTAAAGGGTGAGGAATATTTTTTCAATAATAAATTCATGTGGATTCTTTGAAAACATTAAGTATTTAACTGCAACTCTTTTAAATAAAAAATAATAATTGAAATCAAAGCTATGTAGTTGACTTTCAAAAGTTAAAGCTTTAGTGCTGATCTTTATGGTGTTTGAGCTTTGGGCCACCTTCCAGAGAAATCTCACTAATCTCTTAAAGAAGAAAAGTTGAAGCTCAAAAGGATCATCTAGATATCTTTGGTTCAGGGCTCCTCTATAAAGTTCTGAGCACAACTCTACCTGTCCGACAAGCCAAGTAGTAACGTGAGTTTTCTAGAAAGATGCCTGGAGTGACTTCCTGTCCATTCTCTTCTACAGCTGTCCAGCTTGCCTTAGAGTATAATGTCCTCTTGGTTCCCTACTACAGCATCTATATCTAGGATCCAGCTTTCCGTCCTCCCCTCTTAGAACATATGCAGTTCCCTCTAAGCTGTCCAATAGAATAGCCACCACTCACCTGTGGCTACTTACATTAAAATTAACTAAAATAAAAATAAGATTGAATATTCCATTTTTCAGTTGCACTAGTCACATTTCAAGTACTTGGTAACCACATGTGGCTAGTAGCTACAACATAGAATATTATAGAACATTTCTATCTTTGCAAAAATTTCCACTGGACACAACTTCTCTAAACTCTCAGGATCCAACTTCTGGAATCCTAACTGATTTTCCAATATGCTCATTCTTCAGTCTTTCTGTCAGATCACAATTCTCACTCCAGCTTCAGCCCCTGAAGCCATAATACTGGACTTAGTCCTTAAGTCATAACAACGTAGTGATAATGCCAAGTCTGTTCTCAGATCTCAGTATACATTTAAATGTGTGCATTTACATGTAAGCAAATGTAATCTCTATTTATATTTACATTAAGACTAGTGATGACGTTGAAGTCACAGGTTGCTAGAAGACAATGTGTGAGAAGAACCAATCAGAGGGGATCTACTGCCTAGGAGAAAGGGCAAAGCACCAGGACTGGAGGAAAGAGAAGGAAATTAGTACATTCCAGTTAACTATGCAGATGATAAAACCTCCAGGAAGGAGAGAGGTCAATCAAGGAAATAACGCGTGTGGGAACATGGAACAGTCTGCATCCTTGTAATCATATGCAAGTCATAGGAAGCGGACTCTAAACAGAGGTAAGAGTTTTGCTTACATCTGGATTGTGCATAATTCATTCACTGAGCTATAGTAGTTAGGCCCCTAATTTATGGTAGCAGTGTTACTATGGGGAGAAAAACAAAAATAGTAACTGAAGACAGGGACATTCCTTGGGCCCAGCCTGGAGAGCAGTTTTGGCCAGATTTGTGCTTCTAAGCAAGTCATGAAAGGGAAGAATATGACTGATATATAACAAGATTGACTCCTTCCTGGGTTAGAGAGAGAGAGAGAGTTACTGGGTAAAGTTTGGAACTCCTGCTTAGAAAGAAAACCAAGACAGCCAGGAGCCTAGGCTGGGAGAGGGCTAATTGCTCAGTCTCCTCGAGAGGCACTGACCAGGTTTTCAGCGTGGTATTGGCAGCTTCACTTCAGATTATTCTCTTGACATTTAGTATTACTGAGATGGGAGGGCATGCCAGGGCCCAGGAATAGAACAGTGGTGCCAATCAAAGCGATTGCTTTAAAACAATAATAAAAAAACAAGAAATAAAGCCTTGATGAAGGAGTAGGGTTTCTGTTGAGAATGCCAGGCATCATGAAGGACATGGAGGGGAGGAATTGGCAATTCTGACTCTGTGAAATCACATCACTAAGTCTACTTCTAAGCTCTAAGCTATCTACTTTTCTCCCAACCCCCAGAGAGGGAGAGAGCTGAGCAATTTTGCTGACCAATGAAGTCATTCTACTAGTGGGTGTTTTAAAAAATGAGTTGAGGCCATAAATATCCCAGTATGATTTAAATTCAAGCAATATGTTTCAATAAAGCTAAACTTTTATATCATTGCCAGTATTGAATCAGTAGACTAAATTCTGCAAATGGAATTCAAACTATTAAAAAAAATTAAAAAAATATGTAGCTAAGCCTTCATATGAAATAACTTAGAAATTCTTTTCAACATAATGTACAAGCCATTTTTGCTCTGGGCTGATATCTCTAATCTGTGCAGAATTTCTTTTTGAGACATATGGATACGAAGGCAAAAGAAAAGAGGAAAAAAGGTACACGCCTTAACATCTTCAATGCTCTGTTAGACTCAGTTTCTTTATTTCAAAAACCTGGCAAAAAATTACTGATTTTCTGAGAAACAAGCACGCAAGGATCAGCTAATTTCTTGAGGCAACTAATGGCTTTGTTATTTGACATTTCTGAAGGGCTTATCATGTGCTCAATATATAGAACACAGAAGGGAAGTGAAACATTCGTGTGGACTGAAGAACTTTGAATGTGTCCCAACTGGTTTGTGTGGATGAGGTAAATATATCATTCTGATTTCTGTCCTCCCTTTCTGGTCTCCAGGTGGACTTCCTGAGCCTTGAGAAGCCATCTGAATGAGAATAAAGGTATAAACTATTCACGTATGAAGAACCTACTATGCAGGTAATGTTGTACTAGCCTCCTATGAATCCTTTACAACAATCTAGAGGGGTAGGTATTATTTAGTATTTCCTATTTTCAGATGCAGAGAAGTTAGGTAATTCATGAAGGTTGCACAGCTTTATAGAGGGAGCCAGATTCAAACTCATGTTTCAAATTCTACATCCACATTTTTTTCCATGGAAATTAGAATGATCCTCTTTGTAAACAACATATAGGAACATATTTCTCAAACCCAAATCTCTGGATAATTCTAATTCTCACAAAATGCCACTCAAAAGAGTTTTGTAGTTAAAGAATGCGCTTCTATATATTGGCTTATAATGTGAACTTTTCCCAGACATTATGTAAAGGGAGGCAAATGAAGAATTAAATGGATCATTGTGCTGCACAAGACAGCCACATGTAATCTTCTTGGACCTCCCAAAGTCACAAGAATTGTTGGTCAAAAATTGTAGACTTTCTGGGTGCTCAGGGAGTTAACCTAAAAGAAACCTGAATATTTTATTCCATAAAGGCATAAAAGCAAGTGAATGAAATGGGTCTGCACAATTCTGTACCTGTAGGCATAAAAACATGCTGCTTAGAACGTAGAATTGACTTAACTCCTAGTGATGCAAGAAAAAGCATTCCTTATAGCATTGCTTCTGAGAGTGATATCCCATATGTCATTGTGCCCTAATGGAAGAGACGTAGACAGTCTGCTGTCTTCCATGTGCCAAAATGAGATCTTTGAGTTACTTTCAGAAAAAGAATGGTTGCAGAAGCATTTACTCTAATTGGCTACTGTTCAGCAAAAGTTTCCATAAAATGTCTTACAAGAGACAAGGAAAACAGCCTAAGAAAACAGTGGGAAATACACTGTGACGTGGCAAACTGCACTCACGACTCAATAACTTTTTATCTTTTCCTCAAGGCAAATAGTTCAAAAGATTGCTTGCTATTTATTTGTGCTGCTGGGATCTAGTTTTCTGCTTTGTGCTTCATCACAGGTAGTGACTGCTAAGAGGGAGAGTTAAATAAAATAACTTGTCACAAGCTAACGTATGACTTAAGTTCTAGGGAGTGAAATTCCAGAAACAGAAGATCTTCCCTTAAGGAAGGCATTTCCCACCAGATTTGCAGGGATGTGACCCAATATTAATTGAGTGCCTACCATATACTAGGTGCTTTATAAATAAAATTTTAGCCCCTTTAAATATAATTTAATCTCACAAGGGCCATGGGAGTTACCCATTATCATTTTCTTCACTTTACATGTGAGAAAGCTAAGCTCAGAGGTTTTTACAAAATTGCTAAGGTCATGGAGCTAGTAAGCTACAGACATGTTTTCTTCTTGTTTTTTTATTTTAAAATTTTTATTGAGGTATAATGTTCATATAATAAAGTGTATATGTAAACTGCACTAATCTTAAATGTACGACCAGTGAATTTCTACATGTGTATATGCTCAAGTGGTCACCATCTAGTTCAAGAGTTATTTTCACACTGCAGGAAGTTCCTTTTCGCCCTTTTGTATTCAAAATGCACCCAAGAGGTACCATAAACATGGACTAATTTTGCTTCTTCTTAAGCTCTGTGTGAATGTAGCCTGACTAGCCATTGTGGTTTGCCTGGAGCTGAGGGGTTTCTGGGATGTGGATTTCTCAGTGCTAAAACTAAAGCAATTGGTCACTATATAAATGGAATTGGACAGTGTGTGCTTCTTTTACTCAACATAATGTCTGTGAGAGTCATCTAGGCTGAAGTAAGGTTTTGTTTTTTTTTATTACCATGTATCTTTCCACTGTATGACTATTCCACAATTTATCCATTATTCTATTGATATACATTTGAGATGTTTTCAGTTTTTGGCTTTTATGAATAAATCTAGGACCATTCTCATAAAAGTCTTTTTGTGAATGTGATTTCTCATTTCTGCTGGGAGCAGAACTGTTAGGTCATAGATAAGTATATATTTAGCTTTAGTGGATACCACCAATGTTTCCCTACATGGCTGTACCAATTTACACTCCTATTAGCAATTTATGAGAGTTTTGGTAGTTCCACATCTTCATCAACACTTAATATGTCATTACTTTTTAGTCATCCTTGCAGTGTACTAGACTGCTATCATAGACATTCATTCCTTTGTGTATCCCTTTCCCACATTGACTTGACCTTGGCTGCATGATTCACTGTAGCCAATGAGACATTAGCAAGAGTGACACGAACAAAGGTTTGATAAACCCTTGGACATTGGGACTTGTTCTTGTGGAACACTCACTAAGGCAGACTTGAGTCACCATATAAAATATCTGGCTGTGCCTCTCAAAAGACCCCATGGAGAGGTAGAAGAGAGGTGGAAATATTAGCATGGACTGCTCAGCTGGGCCCAGGGGTTCCATGCATCCCAGTAGAGGCACCACATACGTGAGTGAAGAAGCCACCTTGGAAATCCCAACTCTTGTGGAAAAAACCACGACATATGAAATGAGAAAATACTTGCAAGACAAATGCCTGACAGAGGTTAACCTCCAAAATAGAAAATGAACTTCTATAACTTAATAGGACAACACAAAACCTAATGAGATGATTACAAAGTGGGCTAAGGACTTGAGGAGACATTTTTTCAAATAAGATATACAAATGACCACTAGGTATATGAAAAGAAGTTCGATACTACTAAGCCACTGGGGAAATGCAAATTAAAACCAGGATGAGCTATTATCTCATACCTGTTAGGATTGCTATTATTTCTGAAATACCATAAATGTATACCTACTATGTACCCACAAAAATTAAAAGTTAAAACATGAAAGTATTGGTGAGGATGTGGAGAAATTGGAAGCTTTGCACACTGGTGATGAGAATACAAAATGTTGCAGCCACTATAGAAAACAGAATGAAGGTTTCTAAGAAAGTTAAAAATAGAACTTCTATAGGATCCAGCAATCTCACTTCTGGGCATTTATTTAAAAGAACTGAAATCAGTAACCGAAAGAGATATTATCTCTTTTATTATTATTGTGAAGAATGCTGCAATAAACAGCAAAACAATTGCTCTCTATTACAGCTTTATTCACAATAGTCAAGATGTGGAAACAACTTACATGTCCATATAAAGGTGAATGGACAAAGAAAATGTGTTATTTGCATATAATGGAATTCTGTTAAGCTTTAAAAAAAGAAGGAAAAGCTGCAACATATGATAATGGAATAAAACTTGGGAACATTATGCTAAGTGAAATAATCCAGTCATAGAAAGACAAATGCTGCATAATTCCACTTATATGAGATATCTAAAATAGTCAAACTCATAGAGACAAAGAATAGAATGGTGGTTGCCAGGAGCTGGAGGGAGGGAGAAATGGGAAGTTGCTAATGAACAGACATAAAATTGTAGTCAAGCAAGATAAATAATCTCTAGACATCTGTTGTACAGCATTGTATCTACAATAAGGTATTACATATTTTAAGAAGGTAAATCTCATGTGTTTGACCACAATTTTTAAAAGCTTCTTTTTTAAAGGAGATCAACAAAGTTAATACTCTACACAAGCTAATCCAAAATCAAATAGAGAAGACATAAATTACTGATATCAGAAATGAAACTGTCCCAAAGATATTAAAAGGATAATAAAGGATATTACAAACAACTCTACACCCACAAATTTAACACCTCGGTTGAAAGTCCCTGAAAGACATGCTGTGCTAAAACTCACACAAGCAGAACATGTAACCTCAAGAGGCATGTATTAAATAAATGGAATCAATAGTGAACAGACACTTCTCAAAAGAAGACATTTATGCAGCCCACAAACATATATGAAAAAAAGCTCATCATCACTGGTCATTAGAGAAATGCAAATCAAAACCACATTGAGATACCAACTCACGCCAGTTAGAAAGTCAGGAAACAACAGATGCTGGAGAAAATGTGGAGAAACAGGAACGCTTTTGCACTGTTGGGAGTGTAAATTAGTTTAACCATTGTGGAAGACAGTGTGGCGATTCCTTGAGGATCTAGAACTAGAAATGCCATTTGACCCAGGAATCCCATTACTGGGTATATACCCAAAGGATTGTAAATTATCTACTATAAAGACACATGCACACATATGTTTACTGCAGCACTATTCACAATAGCAAAGACTTGAAACCAACCGAAATGCCCATCAATGATAGACTGGATAAAGAAAATGTGGCATATATATACCATGGAATATTATACAGCCATAAAAAAGGATGAGTTCATGTCCTTTGCAGGGACATGGATGAAGCATCATTCTCAGCAAACTAACACAGGAACAGAAAACCAAGCACTGGATGTTCTCACTCATAGGTGAGATCTGAACAATGAGAACAAATGCACATAGGGAACATCACACACTGGAGCCTGTCAGAAGGTTGGAGAGCTAGGGGAGGGATAGCATTAGGAGAAATACCTAATGTAGGTGATGGGTTGATGGGTGCAGCAAACCACCATCGCATGTGTATACCTATGTAAGAAACCTGCATGTTCGGCACCTGTATTCCAGAACTCAAAGTATAATGTAAATAATAAAATAAAATAAATAATCTTCCAAAGAAGAAAGCACCACACCTACACAGTTTCACTGGTGAATTCTATGAAACACAGAAATATTACTCTATAATTTCTCCCCAATATTTGAAGCAGAGGAAATACTTCTTAATTCATTTTATGAGGCCAGCATTCCCTTAACTACCAAAACTAGATAAAGACATTATAAGAAAAGAAAATTGAAGACCAATATTTTTCATCAAGGTAAATACAAAAATCCTCAACAAAATAGCAGCAAATCATATTCAACAATATATTAAAATAATTATATACCACAACCCAAATGGTATTCACAAGTACACAAATTTACTTCAACATTTGTTAAGTCGATAGATGTAATCTGTACACAGGTGGAGAAGAAAGAACTAAAACGATCTTTGTTTGCCACGAACATGATTGTCTATTCAGAAAATCCCAAAGAATTAACAAAAAGTACTCC